AACATCTTAAGGAAGACTCTCTTTAAAATAAATTATTTTTATTATACTGCAAAATCTGAAATTCATGAAACAGAAAACGTAAAAAAATACATTTTTGAATGTGGGTCAAATGCAAATGGCACTTGCCCTTCAGCTCCTTAGTATTCCCAGTGTTTCTAGATAATATCTTTTCTTATTATTATCGCAGGGCTGGATTTAGAGCTGCTGATGATATGTGGACAAGTTGGGCAGAAGCTCCAGGAAATCTCATCGTGGGAATGGGATGTAAGTATCTTGGCTACTTTTTCATCCCTTTTTGCGGCTCATAAAATTAATTTTCACCAATCAAAGGCATACACCAAGTATCAGAGACTGTTGAGGCTGCGAAATACTCGTAAGATAAGTTGGAAAAGCAATTAGTAGAAGCTGCAACGAAACATCGCCTCTTCTATCGATAGTATTTCATGAGACATGAGTGTTCTGGAAAAGAAACGACACACGATTGACAAAAGATTGTTACTCTGAGAAAGAATTAACGAGTATTGAATAGATTGTAACGGTTACCTCTACCCAGACGAAATCAAACGATTCTCTACGAATTTCGTGGTTTTACTTCACGTTACGACTGCATCTAGCACCTCTGATGGCAATGCGAGCTGGTGACGCGTCGTGGTGTCTAAAGTGAAAATCGCTGAGTTCCGCGAAATTTGACAACCTACCGTCGGCTTGAGGAGTTTCCCCAACCAGGTATCTCCTACCAGCGAGGCACCGCCCCAGCAGGGACAAGCTCTAAGCTCGCAGCTGGTCTCCCGACATGTGAGGTAGTGTAGTGAATGTGAGTGAGTGTGTGTGTGTGTGTGTGTGTGTGTGTGTGAGTGCATAAGTAAGCGGTGAAGAAAGTACAAGGAAAGGGAGGAAAAAGTCGTGCCCGTTTGTTACGGTACTGCTCCGGCATTCTCCTCGTATTGATTGGAGAAACTACAGAAAACTACCGATCAGAGCAGTCGGCCGTTAGAATTTTTCTCCAGAATGCGGCTGAACTCGTCCTAGCTACCTAGCGTCGAAAATCCTCCCACTGTTTGGACTCAAGAATAATTGTTGCCCTGAGTTGCCTAAGCCAATAATTTCTTTTAGCTACTTGAGATAGACTACATCTCCTTTAGTAGCATACTGAAGTTTTACACAGTGATTTACTACAAGAAAGGGTGTAGCATCCCCAAAATGGCTTATGGCTCAGGATCTTAACTTGACCATAAAAAATCTTAAAAAGAATAATCTCAGGGATATGGTGATTATAGGTAAGAAAGGCGAAAACAAAATAACTTGACACGATTGGAATATTAGCATCCACAGAATAATTGAATTCACTGAGATACACATAAACAAAAATTAAAAACAAAAAAAAAATTAAAAACCAAACACATAAAATAAGCATTGCAAAAATATTAATACACTGATACACAAGAGAAAAGAAAGGTGAAACCCTTTGAATAAATACACACTCTTGTATACACTTTGCAATATACAATGTCCCTAAGGATCCTTCCTAACTGTAACAGTACTATCGAAATTTGTACACAAAATTTAACTTTTTAAGTATTCAAAAGTTCTCCGGCAAAATTTTTACTCTTTACTCAAGTAAATTACACCTTTGTTTGACAATTTGAATTACTATTGAAATAGCTAATGAGCTTTTACCTTTATGAAGCTCCAAAGAATAAAAAATTATACACAAGCTCTCTCTCCATCCCTCTCTCTCTCTCTCTCTCTCTCTCTCTCTCTCTCTTTCTCTCTATCTATCTATCTATCTATCTATCTCTCTGTCTGTCTGTCTCTGCCTCTCTCTTGCTGCACTAAACTCTGATTAAAACATATGGTGAATTGACTTGAAATCAGCTGGGACATAGGGAGCTTCAATTGAACCCATCTCGATCAGGTTTTTGTCGAGTTTCCCTGATCCATTGAGCAAATGCTGAGATGGCCCCTTGTTTTGCTTGTGGACGTTAATGTAGCTTCACTATGCGCACGTTTTGTTGAGCTCTTCTTTTTCTTGTAATCGTAGGAGTAGAGGTAAGGACGAGTTACTATTTTGTTAGCAATGCAGAAAAAGCATAACTGCATTTCGCTAACCGATGCAAATAAGTTTTCTATAACTCGGAAAGAAAATGCCATTTGTTCAAATATTACTAATCTCGCGCTTTTTTAAAATTTATTTTTATTTATTTATTTTAAAGTTTTATTCGTCTTTCAACTATTTATAGTTAAAATGACAGGAAGGGATTCTGGAACTCAAGAAACGTACGCAAATAACCTTCTAATCACATACATTTTTTTACTAAATAAATCTAAATCTAAAATTTCCAAAATGAAGATTTAACGAAGCACCTGATTAACGGCTGATCGCTGTCAATTAGCCGAACGCCATAAACTGAGTGCACGCGTCTACTTGCGGGCTCCGCGGTTTGGGAATGCACTCTGTGACATCCTTCGACACACGAAACACAGTAAAAATATCTGCGCACGGTGCTGGACTCAATTCGCAACCCTTCGAACTGCGCCGAAACGAATCATGCTCTCGGTCGTTTAGACTGGAGAAAAACATTTCTAGCATTTTGATGGAACTGCGTAATTTTAATTACCTCGTTGATGACGAACGTATCCTTATGCTGTGCGATGGTTATTTATGATTAATAAATTGCAAAACAAAACATTTATTGAGCATCGTAGGCTTTCAGGCTGGAGTCACTAGAAGATGAATTTTCCGGTCTGGTAGGCCGTGATCCTGTTGGCATTGAAGGGCCAAACGTTTTGTCCTCGTCTGCGGTGGACATTTTCAGTGGCAGCAGGGTCGTGGGCGCAGTGGCGGCCAGTCGCAGTCGACCACTGCCTACCAGCCCGGAAAATTTATCTTCTAAACAATTTATTGATTGATTATTTTCTTTACAGATTCAACAGTCGCTTGGCAAGGTGACCGGCCGGCCTGGAAATATGAACGACGGCAAGAATAGGACTCAAGTTCACTCACCCATCGACAAATATAAACTTAAATTCAGAAAATTAATTTTTGTCACTTCATGTTGTTGATAATATGTTATAGTTTTGAAAAATTGATTGAAAATTGAATTTTGAAAAATAATGGCTACTCAAAATAAATTTAAAACTGAAGAATGTGATTATTTGGGTAAATTAGTTTACAAGGTGCTAACAATATTTGTTATTTCTCAGATGAATTATATTAAACGAGTATTAAGATAGTCAAAGAATGATTTTAACAAACGAAGATTTTATGTTGCCAGCAACGAGATAAAGTACTACTAGATAAGAGTGGCTTACCGTGCGGTTTAGTGCTTTTTTGTGGACGCTCCCATAACTAGGAATCTCCAAATTTTCTGCAGTCAAAACAGGTGGGGCAGTATATTAAATTTTTACGTTGAACGCGTTGTATGGTTGTACCATACGTTATTTGAATATAATAGTATGTACATCGTCTCCTATATTATTTAAGTTGTATACATACCTTTTGTGGCTCTCGCACGCAACCGATCTTTGCAAATGAGGCTTGTAAAGAACGATAATTTCACGGAGACTTGATGAATTGCACTTTGGCACTAGGGGACCATTAAAAAATTATATTTCAGTTCAATAATTTATTTTGTTTAGGGCAATTACCATTGTCATTACAATTACCATTGTCACGTTGCGCTATGAGAAGCACTGACCCCCATTACCTCACAAGCACATTTTTATCAAAACGACTCATTAACTTCTACAGAATGCTCAAAATTTCTCGCACAATGTATCACATGATTTGCTGCAGTACTTTCCATCCAACAATTTCTTAATCTTTCAGAAACCTCCACGTTGACGTAAGTATGACCTTATTCTCTGAAAGTGCTTTCTGACATCAACGACTCACTTTCCTGGTACGAATGCTATAAGATTTGTAAGCTTTCTTTGGCAGCGGCGATCAACTGACGAAAGTTATCATGACTAATAGTAGGTAGAAGCATATGTTTCTGCATTTCAATATGGTTTGATTACAATATTTATCGATAATTTACCGTTGACTCCCTTTACTCCCGCTTCCCCTATCAAGAGAGAGGGCTTTAGTTTTAATATAATTAGAGAAGACAATGTACGGTATTCAAGTGATTTTTACCCTCGCAATAAAAGTTCTGAAATGATAACTGTGTTTAGACATTGTCTAAAAACTTAAATATTCAACTCTAAAGAACATCATTCCTGGTGGAATAATATTCAGTATGAGATATATTTTTTCTAATATCGAATTATGTAATTATATTTTACACTTTTTTTTGAACGAATCCGATACACAAATTTTCATTTCTGTTCTTACCATTAGAATAGCTTTCATTATAATGATGTTTCGTTATCACCTCCCTAGAAATACTTGTTGGTCCTTTATTCTTTCAATATCGGAGGTTTGTGATAATTATTAGTAAGAAATGACAATTCTAAGTATATATTTTATTTTTATTATCTTCTTCTATAATTAGAAATTAAGAAAGATTATTAATGTTATTGTACAGATTATATGACGAGATCTGATACATGTTTCGCCTAAGCTGTCAACTCTTCAGATCTTTACTTTGAAAGAGGCTCAAAAATGAAAGAGAGCATTTTAATAAAGGAAAATCTTATTCATGTCTATGTTTTCATAGTGGTGAGAAATATTTATCTTCTTTTGGCTTCTCACTCCACTGATGAATAAGGCAGTCTTCAAAGCAATTTTCATGGTATGTTGTTTCCAGAGCTCTCTTGCAGAGTAATCTTAACCAAATTCGTTATTTGACTTCGTTACCACCAACGCTGCAAAACATACAAAGATTTAGTTTTAGTGAAAGTAATTCTAAAGAGAAGATTTACAGGTAAAAACAAAACTAAGCAGTGGCAACAAATGGCTATTTACGTTCGTATAAAAACCCATTAAATTGTTTTTATAGTTTTTCCCTGGCTGGCTGGAATAACCTGGGGAAGTTTAAATTCGTTTTAGACGGTAATCACTATTTACTGAAAATACAAAACTAAACATATTTCTGAAAATGCAAATGAAATGTTTTAAAATTAATAAGATCTGTTTGTGTATGTTCTACTCGCGAACCTTTTTTTGAGTTTTCATTTCACTAGATGCGAGAGGAGTGGAAAAGTTATTTAGATGACAGAACTATTATATCGAATATGTAGCTGGTGTTTATTTGTCAAATTCACTTATACAGGAGCAAACATTTTTGGTAATTAGATTTGTCAACAAGGCACGACGCCAACATTTATTCGTAATTCAACTAATGTTAATGGAGATAGCCATTCCGGGGCTCAACAAACCCTGATCGTAATTGTAGCCTCTACAGCAGGAACTTCAGACATTCACCTTAAATTTATAGTGTATCACGATCATTATGTTTTAAAGCAATGCATGTAAGAAATGATTGCCCGACATGACGTTTATTCAAACTTCCTCTGCATTTATTTACATATTTCCCTTCCTTCACATTTAAAAACACTCACTGATCTTCAAACTTAAAAACTTCGATATCTTCACTAACTCCTCACACTCAATCGCATGCCCTAGCCAGACGACGAAACATCGATGTTTTCGATACACCGACAGCAACTCGAACGTTAAAGCGCAGTAAGACCAAATTGTAACGGGTAGTGACATTAAAGAATACTGTTATTATATCAGCACGTTTTCTTGAGCCCCGGAATATCTACCCCCATCCTTTCCCAACATTAATTGAATGAAGAATAAAAGATAGCAACGACCGTTGTAGATAAAATCTGGTAACGAGTAATGTTCGCTCCCGTGTATTAGAAAGAATTTGCATGGAAAAATGAACCACAAATTGGACGTAAAATTCCTTTTGTCAAAACAACTAAACTTCCCAGTCCTTTCGCATCTAGCGAAGCGAGTCTCCAGAAAGTGTGCGCGGATAATACGGATAATAAAAAGTGGCGGCTTCAGGCACAATTTTAAGGGGGACACAAAATTCGTGAATAGGAAAAGGAGGGGTTGTGAAAAGGAAACTGGAGACTTTAGATAAATTTAATATTCGAGAATCCAACATTTTTTGACATTTTTGAAATTTTAATTCGACAATACAAAGCAATAAACCTAACAATTTAAATAGAAACATAAAAGATAAACTTATTGTTAATTTTAAGACTCTTGAAATAAATTTATAAAGATTTTAAGACTAACACCTTATAATGGAATAGGTTTTCTGCACTACTGTAACCTGTAGGCGATTCGGAGGAAACGTATTTGGAGACAGAAATCAAAAACTCCTCAATAGGAAGCTCTGGCCATCCTGCAAGGAAACATTTCCCAAGTGACGCCGACCCTGGGGTGTGCCCGCAGAGAGCCGCCATTTGCAAGTCCCATGTTGCAATTTTTACAACTCTAAAGCATTGAGCTTAAGGCAACACCATATTTGACCTATAATAAGATGCAGTTCTCGAACGCTCCTAACGAATGAAGGGAAACACGGAACAAGAAATGCTGGACTTCAGAAATCGAAGAATGACGTGGCGAACAATTACTTTAAGATCAAATATTAAACAAAACTAAAGATGTATGTGTAATATTTGGAAGGTCAGTGCCCCTTGACCCTTCCTGCCGTAGCCACCACTGGTTACAATTCATACCAACGTTCTTAAAAAAACATGTACTGGCATGGGGACGTTTGGAGTAGTCAATCATTGCAATCTAAAGGTTCTCTGATATATTGTAAGTGCACGAAACTCATTGTTTCATGTTCAAATTCAGTGTGCAATTTCGTACTGTTTTACTCTTCAGAACGAAATATTACGAGGGGAATATATGGATTATACCATGATAGTAATTTATTGCAATTGCTGAAAACCTGTAAAAAATTGTACACCTGTCTTGTTAAAGAAAAAACGGCATCTTTCGTTATAAATATGTCTAAATATTAACCACATGGAACAAATGTTTTTGTTTTTCAATTTATATTTTTATTTCTGTTGCACTTCTCCCCAAAAAACAAAGATAATTCTGAAAACGAGCGAAATTGCAGAGTGAGATTTACCGTAGACCAGTGTTGGTTACAGTGGCGATCATGCGCCATCTAGCGAGCAAGACGAGAATTACGGAGACAATGCCGCCGTGAAGTAGGGCCTTGAGTTACAGAAACTGAACCGTGGACTGAATTGAATCGTTTATTTCAGAAACCCGTCAAACGCAAAATTCCTCATTCCGAGAAAACTGAGAAAAAGACTCCCAATTTATCTGATTTCAAAATATGTTTTATTTATTAAACCAGTTGATAAATGAATACTTTTCATATAAATATGCACTAAACTATGTGTATATCCTCTAAGAACAATACTCCGCCGCTAATGCGCCTATTAGATTTTGGCGTTTGACGGGTTTCTGAAATAAACGATTCAGTTGAGAAGATTCGTTCTCGGCGAGCCGGGAACGAGTGTACGCACCTGTCGGCGGCGTGCCGGCGCTGGCGCTGGGCGCAGCCGGGGAAGAGGCGCGCGCAGTCGCCCAGGCGCAGCCCCGCGTCGCCCGCAGCCTCCGCCCGAGCGCGCAGCTCTCGCCCCAGCGACAGCCCCGCCCACGCGCTGCGCACACACATACACACACGCGCGCGCGCGCAAGTCACAGCGGCTGTTCCCACTGGGAGAGGTGCCTCAGGACATCGACTGATGGCACTGCAGCGCCTCTCACCGGGAGGCCCAAGGTTCGAGTCCCGACGCCGGCAGGATTTTAGACTACATCGAATTCAGTCGCTGTCTGGAGGAGAATTCTAGCGGCCGGCTGCACTCATCGGTAGCTTTCCGAGGATTCTTCGATCAACACCAGGCGAATGCCGAAGCAGTTCATTAACAAGCGCGCGCGATCTTTCCTTCCCCTTCCTTGTCCTGTCCTCATCCCCTTACTTACACACTATCACATGCATTACACTACCACACGCAGGAAGGCCGATCGGAAGCATAGAGCTTGTGTAGCTTGAGGAGGTTCACCCGCTGTTGGGAGATACCTTCATGTGGAAAGCCTCACGAGTCGACGTGTAGATAGCCGCCAGATTCAGCGGGGGAATCACCGCCACCTCACGTTTTAAAACCTTCACTATGATTACGGGACTAATGACCTTATCAGTTGACACGCACGGAAACACTAATCTCACAAACAAACAAACGCACCGCCCGAGTCAACATTACTAACAACATTACTTTTCTCATCAGTCAGACTCTCGATCCCCGTGCCTGGAGATGAGTTGGCACCACTGCAAGACCACACAAGAAGTGGGAACCCCAGAAAAAGCAGGGAGACGGGCAGGCTGACAAACACGGCCTACAATGCTCAGTAGATTAATTGGGTATTTTTGTAGCTCATGGCCTACAACGCTCAGTAGCCAGTTTTTTGTGTGAAATTGAGTTATTAGAAATTTACAAAACTTCAAATATTATTATTCTTGTGTAATATGTTATTTAAATTCAGTATGGACGTATAAGCAAATGTACTGTGTTTAAAAGTTTAAAAATGTATTAAGTTATATGAGGGAAGTTCAGGTAAAATCCTCATTGTCTCATAATTATGTCACTGTGGGATAACCCCCTGTTCTACTGAGCCCAACTCCCATTTTAGACGATGCAGCGCAATTAGTGCTCGTAGTTGTGAGGAAAATTTTGTCCAATAGTATGCAGAGAGGGCACTGAAGTGTCCGCTAATGAGGGCTCTTCACAAATCCCGCTCGCGGCGCCACGTGCAAGAGGGTAGCCCGGACCGCCGCCAGAGGGGAGTTAAAGCGCGCTCGGTCGCCACCCCTGAGCTCTTCCCCCTCCTCCTCCACCTTCTCCAGCGTAGGAGGGGGAGAGAGCAGCCAACCCTCCCCGGCGGAGAGGGCGACCAAGCGGGGGCCATGCGCATGCATCCAGATTCGATAGCAGCGAACTTAAGGCCCGTTCGCAATGCAAACATAAACATAAGCACGGCATGGCGTTAACATAAAAGTGAGGACTACATCCACAAGCGGACTCGTTCACAATGCGTTCGCCTAAGCATCACACGTAAGACGTTAACTTAAAATCTCAAGCCGCTGTGCTTATGCTTAAGTAAGACATAAGAAACGAACCAATCACAGTACGTTTACTCAAATCAAGAATTGAAATAGTAGCGAAGTCGATAGACGAACTAACACCATGTAGCAAGGGCCATGGACAAAGTCGATACCTCGAAATCTATTCTCACATTCAACTAAGAGTAAACTAGAATATCTCACAGCCAATAGAAACTCTTTATTTTGCTTACGTTTATGTTAGACATTGTGAATACTTCAGTCTATCGCTTATGTTAATGTTTATGACTATGCGCTATGTTTATGTTTACGTTTGCATTGTAAGAGATAAAAAATTAACCAATCACAGTATGTTAATTCAAAATCGAGAATCAAAAGAGGAGCGATGTTTATTGACGAACTAACACCATATGGGCACAGTCGATACCTAGAAATTGTTTCTCATATCTAATAAATAGTAAACTAGAATGTCTCACAGCAAATAGAAATTTATTTTCCTTAAGTTTATGTTAGATATTGTGAATACTTCAGTCTATCACTTATGTTAATGTCTATGCGATATGCGTATGTTTACGTTTTCAATGTGAATGGGACTTTATAGTAGAAACTCTGTATCGAAAACGCGTTCGTATTTGGACATGCTCTCTGACTTGGACTCACAGTTGGTGCGACAGTATGTTTGGAATTGGTTTCTCCCTGTTATTACGACTCTTGGTTACGTGTAAAGGCTGCGTTCTAGGATACATCAGTACAAAATAAAATTGTTGTATCAGACCTTGTGTACTGTGTTTAATTTAGTTTACAGCAGACACCAGTAGTGGCTTCTATATCAATTGTGGCTACTTAAAGCATAAAACACACACACAAAATGGAGGCTTCCCATTTCCTTCAAAAGTGCGGAACGAAGAGCTAATGCCTTCTAGTGGTGAGAGTTAGAAAGAAGTTTCTTTATTTAATTTTCCTTATTTAATATTTAAATAATAATATCATGAGATCATGTTATGAATATTGGCATATAATACAACTTGAACCGGGTTTTTCACCCGTTTTCGACTTTTTGAGCTTTATTTGGGAAGAGATAAGCGCGTTCCCCTAACAAGTAAATGAAAACTAATGGCCCATTTACTTTACTCAAAAAAATTATTTCTGAAACCCAAAGCGTTGAGATAACTATTAAATCATTCTTAACTGTTACCACTACTGGCGCTTTTACCATACTGGTTGGTGACATCTTGGAAAGAAGAAATACTAGAGAGAAATTGCTATGAAATTTAGAACGAGTACGAAATATATAGTAAGCAATTCTTCTACAAAATTATATGAAAAGAGGTGGAAATCTTGATGAATAGATTTGAGTGACATTTCATAGAAAGTTTCTTCACAGCTTACGAATATTTATATTTCAGGGGTCACAGTTGTATTATTCTTAAAATCAATAAAACTTTACCAACTTTTTTTTTATCAACTTTTATATAGTAACTTAAAATGGTGTTAATCCTGCCCGATTTGTCTGTAATGCGAGACTATTATATAAATTATAATTAATAGTACTTTATTGAATATGAGGGATGGATTCATGTTTCCGAGCTTGTCAACTGCTAGGTCATCAGTCAGTATTGGGAACGTTTTATGTCTGGATGTGGCAATATTCCTTCCCGATGGAGAGAGGGAAGGAATTACATGTCGGCTTGCGAGGGAATTCCACCTCAATGTATCTCCACCACCGGCTCTAGGTTCCCGACTGGTTTCCTGACATGTTTGGTAGTGCGGTTTGCATGCGAAGTAATGCATGTTTCTTCCTCGAGAGATTGCGGTGGTCTTCCTCCGGTGAATGGCGAGATCTGACCTACTGTCAACTAGCAATGATTTTCCCAACCAGGTATCTCCTATCAACGGCACCCCGCCCCAGCTGCGACAAGCTCAAAGTTCCCGACCAGTCTCTCGGCATGTGGGGGTGTAGCGCATGTTAGTGTATGTGTGGGTAAGTAAGGAGTGAGGATAGGACAAGGAAGAGGAAGTAAAGATTGCGTGCGGAACGTGGCCCGTTTGTTACAGTACTGCTCTGGCATTCGTCTGATATTCGTCGGAGAAATGTCTAAAAATTACCGATCTGCGCAGTCGGAGCTGAATTTAAAAAAATAGCTCTGAAGCAAGTGTCACAATATGCATCCGTCGGGACAGCGAAGCTCCACCGAGAAGAGTATTGCCGTTGAGCTATCACAGCCCGTTACTCACCTGATGTAGCGCGCGAGCAGGCGCCCTGTGCTGCCTAGTTGGGAGCTCAGCTGCCGCCCCAGCGTACACACGCCGAACTCCACACAGCGGTCGCTCTCGCCCGCGCCGTCGCCCGCACCATCGCCCTCGCTCTCCACCGCAGTCGCGTCCCGCGGCGGCGCTCGCGACGACGGACGCCCCTAAGGAGACACAGCCCTCGCACTCGCCCGCTCCCAACAGCGCGCGCGCTTAACCCTTAACCGCTCAGCGGCCTCGGCGGAGCGGGCGCTAAATGGCACAACTTGCTCCAAGCGCGCTCGCTCATTCGCACAGCTGACTTCACACCGCACACACTCAGTGGCTTAACTGACTCAACAGCCTACACGCCCAATGGCACAGAGGACTCAACAGAGAAGGCGCTTAATAGAATTGATGACGCAACAGCACACTCACTCAATAATACGCAGTGCTCTCACTTAATGGCATACCTGACTCAGCAGTTCACGCTCTCAATAACTGATGGCTCGACAGCGTATGCACTCCATCACATAGCTGACTCAACAGCGCATGCACTCAATAATATTGCTGACGTTTGGAAAATAAATTAAGAAAAAATTAAATCACCATTATTTGTACTTTATACTTCGAAAAAGAATTTCAAACACTATTTTGATTTTCGTATCTAAATTACATGTCCAATAATTTTGGCCAACTCCAAAATGTGGCCGTACATACATATTGTTCGTGGTACATACTATAAATACCGAGAAACTGAGAAAGATACATAGAGACAGGGACAATCACACAGGGAGACAAAAACAGAGAGACAGAAGGAGACAGAGACTGACGGAGACAGACATACACAGACGGAGACAGACTCAGACAGAGACAGACTCAGACAGAGACAGACCCAGACGGAGACAGAGATAGACGGAGACATACAGAGACGGAGTAAGGCAGAGACAGGCGGAGACAGAGAGTTAGAGACACTCAGAAAGAGAGACAGGGACAATCAGACAGAGAGACAGGGGCAGGGACAGTGACAGGGACAGGGACAGGGACAGGGACAGGGACAGAGACAGAGACGGAGACGGAGACGGAGACGGAGACGGAGACGGAGACAGAGAGACTGAGAGAGAGACAAAGACAGGCTGATAAAAGTGAGACTGAGAGAGACAGAGAAAAGTCAGGCATAGAGATACAGGGAGACGCAGAAGCACCGCACCGTAGGGAGCGAGCAGCGAGCACGGAGCTTCCGTGCGGGGCGTGGCGCCGGGCAGCTAGTGAGTGCGGGGGCGCGGGGGCCTGGGGGCAGGGCGCGCTCGGTGGCGCGGGGGTCAGGTGGGCACGCGGTCATCCTGCGGCGCGCGCGCACGCCCACAGCGTCGCCGCGCGCGTCAGCGCCGATCATGCCCGCCTGCGCACGGCACCGTTCGCTTCAGCGCCCGCCCTCGCCCCGGCCGAATTACCAGATAGGAGCGCGCTTCTGTATAGAATCTGGCCCTCCAGGCCCTTACTTCCGTGGCGTATGCCACTGAGTATCGCGCGTCTTTGCCGTCTGCCGACTAGTAACGTCGCCTTGATCGGGCACCTCTAAGACTTAGCGTCACCGTGGGCCATATGTCGCTGATATCGCGCTCTTCCTTCAATGTAGTGCCGCTAGCATGCGCAGATAGTTCGCGACGGGTAGCACTGCTGCTAACAAGGCGTGATCAAGCGAAGGCGCACAACCGAGAGAACACGCGCGTGTAAAAGCGTGACATAATGCCAGCCGCGAGAGGTAGTGGCCTTGAGGCGCGCAGAGTTATAGTAAACCCCACGTTATAGTGCGCCGGGGGGGTGCCAGGCAAACATTGCTTGCCCAACAAAAATCTGGCACGAGAGTAGGTACGCACCCCAGCAGAAAAAGTGTTCATCGTAACTCAAGAAGAGTGCATTTTTCATGGAGAGCGCTTTAAGGATTTGGGAAGTGTATAATTATCAACCTATGTTTGTAAGAAATACGCCATATCGCCCCGATTAGGATTGACTGGAAAATAGGTCCTAAAAAGAAATTAGTACAAAGCCTATTCTAGAACGCAAGAAGCGATTAAGTGTCATTAATTCTTGAAAGTTATGTTTTAATGTTGTATGTAGACTAACATTATGTATGTAACTAAAATTTTTTTTTTTGAGTTTACTGACTACGGAAGGTAGCCGACTAATTTATCGAAATTTAGTTTATAATATTAAGCGATGCATGACTCAGTTTGAAAACGAGCGACGTTACGAGCGAGGATGCAATAAGCAGAACATGTAAACGAGGCTTGCATTCGCTATTTTTTGTGTATAGGGCGGGCGTGTATAATTTGTGACAGAAATCAAAGCTGCAATTGTCGGAAACAACGTTCTGGATGTAATGTCTTGGTATGTTGACATCTGTGCAAAAAACGTGGCACCTCTGTCCTGTTTATCTGTTCTAACCTCTGCGCACGCATTGACTCGCTGCCATTGCTTAATGCAGCGATGACGTAATCATTCGTGCGCGTAAAATCTAATAGTCACATTTGTGCTGGAAAATGGTCCAAATGATGAACGATTTCTTGCAACAGGAAGTCGTTTATAAAGCTGGTATAAAAAAATGGTTTTCCAACTGAACTCCGATTTAAACGTAGAGGCACTTCAGGTCCGAGCCGTACGGAGAGGCACACTTGTCATCCAATCCGGAGGTCGTTATTGACTTGGAAATTACTATACATGGCGAACTTCAACAATACTTCCTCATTTTACGCACGTCGTGAACGGCAACAAAGAAAGAAGCACGCAAAATGCACCAGACACAATAATATATTCTCTTTTAACACTAGCGGCTAAATTATTTGTAGGATTTTGCTAAAATCGCGTCAAAATTTGTAGGATATTTGCCAAAATTGCCAAGTCGCGGCAATCTGGCCCGTCTTAAAAGTCCTGCGATTTTGAAAAGAATCACTGAATTTTGTCAGTACTGTACGTGATGCTCCTGTGACTTTTCAAGGTGGACGGACGGAGGAGGGACATGTCATCCAATCGCGGTGGTTCGTTATGACGAAAAATGTTTTATTTTCTTTCACGAGGCGGAACGATTGCAAAACTTCCTCTTTTTAGATGTTACGTAACGGGAAAGAAAGGAGAAAGATAGCACCAGAAAGACAAATACTCTATTATAAACTGCCATCAAATTAATATTTAACAAAAAAGTTCCACGAATACTAATCAATACACAGGTGTATAGTTTACAACGTGTGTTTACGGTAGTATACGAGATACACGTTGTGCGAGAAGGCCGGCACCATCACACGCCTGGACGTTCCACGCTTTCGAACTCGAAATCTCAGGTGGCAAAAAGGATTAAATATCCCATCCTAGACCGCGACGCGTACTGGGATGTTCAAGAGTTTTCTTTTCTTGTTTTTGATTGATAGACTTGTGATTCGGGTTGGTCTGGATTTTGAAACCATCTAAGCATTCGCCTTATGACCAAGGCGAAAACCACGGAAAACCCCGTATACGTAAGCTTCCGCGGCTCGAATCCACGAATTCTCGGCTATCGGGAGACGCCGCGTCCGTTGGCTGCGGTGCCGACGTTTTCGGCCTGACATGTCGCAGGCTGTCGCTGCCTCAGGGCTCTCGGCGCAGTGACTTGCTCTGTATGTAGGCCTGTGCGTACATGCCGGGTTCAGGAGTGGACGTAGCGGACGTCAGGCAAACTCGGCAGCCAACGACGGCGCGTCTTCCCGGATAGCCGAGAATTCACGAAAAACCCCGTCAGATTGGCCGCCGGGGATCGAACCGGATCTCCCAATGCAATTCCCGAACGAGTACGCACTGAAGTCATTCTGGCTCAGTGTATCATAATTTATTGGTATATTATTGATTATGTATATTTTATTATAATTATTATATTATCTATATAATATACTTTTGTATTATTAGTTTTTTATAGTATCAGTGTATAGTAGTACTGTTTGGCTGTACCTGCAGAAGACAGGGCGAGCGACGGCGCCATGTAGGCGAGGAAGATCCATCCGATGTGCCCGCTCGCGACTGGTCTTGTGTGGGGTGGGCTCGTCCCTCCGAGGCTGCAATTTGAAAGCGAAAACGCGGGATACTTATGAGTGGGAAACAGAAAATCATGTCTTAATAAGTTGGAGTTAATAGAAAATGTGCAATATGTATATAGAGAGTATCCGTTTACAATACCGATTGCGCAATAAATACAAAATTGTTGAAAAAATAACTCATTTTTTTTTAATGCTAATAAGGCATTGGATTTGTCTTTTACGCTTGTTCATACTTAGACTAAAAACGATTATATTCAGATTTCAAGAAAGAAAATACCTCAATTAAACAGGAAACCACATAAAAATGGTAAAGATGTAAGAAATGGAAACGAATATGTACATACAGTAAGATTCATTTATCCGCATTACTTCCGTTAAAAGGGCTTGGCGATAACTTTGAAGGAGGGTGCTAGAGATCTTTTAGTGATTGTCAAGCCAAGAGAGAGCCAGGGAAATAAACGATTTGCCGGGTATGTTGTGTTCTTGCTTAAATAAAATGTAGTTGTAACTGGAAAAATGTTGAATTTGGAACTAGTTCCTCAAAATTATTCTTACAATCCAGTCCTAGATAGTAGCATAGGGGTAGATTCAAAAGTTGCCTGTTTCTCGCTCCAAGAAAATACATCTGCAGCTGAAAGGAGCGTACGGGAAATTGTGCGTGGTCAGACGGGGAAGAGCGGGGGCTGAATGCCCGAAGTCTCCGCCCACGTTAAAATAAGGCATTTAATTGAATAATGTCATTCAATAATAGTACTACTTTTTCTTTTTTTTTTTTTTATGCGTCAACAAGTGCCGCACAGCAGTCGTTTGCAAAAATGGCGGATATGGCGAAGTCGTTTGCTTATTATTACTTTTTCGAGAATCAGGTCCTTACAGAGCCACACTGATTACGAGCATCACACGCGGGCTCATTCCTCTCT